ACCATCCTCAGAGTTGGGGCCCCAGGGTCCAGCCCTGCCTTGTCCCTACCCCATGGCCTTCTGTGACGATGGGTGGGTCTCTGAAGTCACAGTCACTACCTTCCTCCAGGCAATGTTCCTGGTACAGAGTAGCCCTCAATAAATGGCCACTGGATCCAGGAAGAATGAATCACTGTCCCCTCAGGGATCCTGCCCCACCTCTACCACCACCCAGATCTGCCCCTGCCTTGCCTCGGGCCCCTGAGAATGAATGGAGTCCCCGTCAAGTGCTGATTGCTCACAGGCTCTCAGGCAGGCAAGTGGCGAGAGACCCAGACCAACCAAAGGGCTGGTAACAGTGGCCCATCGGCCTTTTGAGAGCCCCCGAGATCATGGCCCAGGCCTAGGCCCTGTGGTAGAGAAGCTCAGGCCCGCCCCAAACTGAGAAAGGGCTGCTGGGAGTTTTCTGCCTGAAACTCCACCTGTGGCCCCAGCTCCTATCACCCTGGCCTGGAGAAGGCTGGGCCCACAGCACCATAAATTCCTGCTCTCATCAGTCCGTATCTACAGCTCTGGCTGTTAGCCAGCAACCCTGCGGCAGTTTCTATCACCTGCGTGTCCTAGAATTATTTTTATCATTCTTTTTCTCACAGCACCCTTTCGAGAGGGGCTGATTTTATACTCTTTTGGTTTGAGTTGGATGAACCCGGGCTTCAGGGGTTTCTGGAAGTTTTTAGCTTTGCCCAAAGCTCCATAGAGAGTCAGGGTTGGAACAGCCCCCTCGGGTTTGAGTTGGGGCCTTAGGTATGACCAGGGGTTGTAGGACAGTTGGAAGAGGGTGGAGACTAGCCCTTGGGAGCCAGGGAAACAGCTGCAGCTTGGCTCTTTCTTAGCTGTGTGACCTTGGGCAAGTCAGGCCACCTCTCTGTGCCCTAGTTTCTTCATCAGTCAAGTGAGGAAGGAACAATAGTACTCACTCCATGCGTTAGTAGATACAGATACTCAGGAACGAGGTTCTATTTCTTCTTGAGTCGGAACCTAGACTCAGACCCTGTCCCACTGGATGACTTGGGCAAGTCCCTTGCCATCTCTGAACCTCAGATTCCTCATCTGTGAAATGGACACAGTCATGCAGGCCTTACACCCTGGCCCTCTCATCTCTGCTCCCAGCCAGTCCCAAGGGAGGCTGAGGGAACTGCCCGTTCCCTCTGCTTGGAACGAAGCCCACCCCAGCTTCACCTGGCTAACTCTCTTCCCAACTCAGACACCCTCCCCCCGCCCTTCACTTACTCAATACTTGTTTTTGAGCGGCTATCACATGCCAGGTGGTAGATAAGACTCAGTCCCTGTCCTCAGGAAGGCAATAAACTGGAAAGAGAAGACAAAGGAGGCAACCCCAGACTGTAAGAAGCACCCTGCAAGGGGAGATCCTAGCACAACGGGAGGCAGCTGGGCAGCTTGCTTCCTACAGGGGCCCCTCGAGGAGAGATTCTTTTTTTTTTTTTTTTTTTTGCTGTAGGGCACGTGCGCTCGCCA